AATAAACAGGAGCTGGGAAATTGTCAGGATGTGCCAGAAGTTTGGAGATGGAAAGAAGTCACTGCTAGAAACAGACAGATTTCACTTCCTCTTTGGCCTGTCTGACTTTGAACCAGGCATGTGATTTCTTCAGTGATTGTGAGCCTGACATCAGTGGTGGGCAAGTTGTTGGAGGAAATCTCGAAGGAGAGGATTTGCATGTATTTGGAAAGGCAAGGAGTCAGTAGAGATAGTCAACATAGCTTTGTGCATGGGAAGTCCTCTCACTAACTTGATTGAGTTTTTTGAAGAAATATTAAAGAGGATTGATGAAGGCTGTGCGGTAGACGCAAGCCACATGGACTTCGGCAAGGTTCCACATGGTACACTGGTTAGCAAGGTCAGATCTCACAAAATACAGAGTGAACTAGCCATTTGGATACAGGACTGGCTTGGAGGCAGAAGATTGCGTGGAGGGTTGCTTTTATACTGGAGGTATGTGACCAGCAGTGAGCTACAAGGATCAGTGCTGGGTCCATTGCTCTTCATCATCATTTACATAAATGATTTTGATGTGAACATAGAAGGTATGGTTAGTATGGTGGCAGATGACAGTGAAGAAAGTCACCACAGTGTAACGGGATCTTGATCAGATGGGCCAATAAGTGGCAGATGGAGTAATTTAGATAAATGTGAGGTGCTGCATTTTGGAAAGGCAAATCAGGGCAGGACTTATATACTTAATGGTAAGGTCCTGGGGAGTGTTGCTGAACAAAGACACCTTGGAGCACAGATTCATAATTTCCTTGAAAGTGGAGTCAAAGGTAGACAAGATAGTGAAGGCAGCATTTAGTATCCTTGCCTTTATTGGTCAGAACATGGAGTATAGGAGTTGGGTAGGTCATGATGTGGCCATACAGGACATTAGCAGCCTAACCATTAAACTAGTGCATACAGCTCTGGTCTCCCTGCTACAGGATGTTAAGAAACTGGAAAGAGTTCAGACTTACAAGGATGTTGCCAGGGCTGGAGGATTTGAATACAGGGACAGGCTGGGACTATTCTCTCTGGAGTGTTGGAGACTGAGGGGTGACCTTGTAGAGGTTCATAAAATCATGAGGGGCATAGATTGAGTGATTAACCAAGGTCTTTTTCCCAACTGTGGAAAAGTCTAAAACTAGCGGGTACAGGTTTAAATGTGAGAGGGGAAAGATTTAAAAAGGGCCCGAAGGGGCAACTTTTTCCACAGAGTGGTGCATTTATGGAATGAGCTGCCAGAGGAAGTAATGGAGGCTGGTACAATTAAAAATATTTATAAGGCATCTGGATAGGTGTAAAAAATAGGAAGGGTTTAAGAGGAATATAGGCCAAATTGGACTAGATTAATTTAGGATAGCTGGTTGACAAGGACCAAAAGGGTCTGTTTCCTTGACATACAGCTCTACAAGGGAGTCTGACAGCTTCTGGAATGTTACTGGATATTCTCCCCACCAAAATCAGCCTGTTCAGAGATGTTATGAAACACCTCTGGAGCAGGTATGATTTGAGCCCAGGTCTCCTAGTTTGGAAGTAGGGACACTACCACTGCATTAAAAGAGATTCCTCCCCCTCACACCCATAGGATAGTGACTAAATGTTTGTTGGCATAAGTCTGGGGTTAGATGATCCCTATGATGAGGTACTTCTACAGCAGATGAGACTTGAACTCAGGCCTCCTAGCTCCAGGGCAGTGAAATGTCATTTGACACCACAGGGATTAAACTCAATCACAGGAACAACAATTAGGGAAAAACAAACATGGAGAACAATTGCCTACCTATCAAGAACCCCACTCAAGTGAGCAGAAACATGTAGGTGGGAGCCAGCTGACACTCGGAAGCCTGCATGACAACCATTACTAACCACTAATGGCACAAAGTAGGCAAGAGTGAGTCTTCCACTCAGTTCCTGGTCTTGAGCAGCAGTACCAGAAGTCAGTGTCAACTGCTGGGATCTCACACACTCCCAGGATCAAAGGCCTCGACAGATCCCTAGATCCAGGCAAGGAAGGACTTTGGGCAGTGAAGACTTGGGAACCTTGGTGGCATGGGTAAGGGAAGCATGGAGTAAAGTTTTAAAAAAGTCCACATGGGACTCTGAAAAGATTCTACTCTCCAAAAAAAAATAGTAATTTCTTTCCCCAACCAGAACAAAAAAAACACCACACCTCCACCCGTGATGTTGGAGGCAGGTAACTCTTTTTGCTGAAAGAACTGCAGATGCTGTAAATCAGGAAAAAAAAAACAAAGTTGCTGGAAAAGCTCAGCAGGTCTGGCAGCATCCGTGAAGGAACTCAGTTCTGAGGAAGGGTCACCGGACCCAAAACATTAACTCTTTTTCCTTCAGATGCTACCAGACCTGCTGAGCTTTTCCAGCCACTCAGCAAAACAGCTGTGTAGCCATGTGTTCCTGCAGTGCCCACCTCTCTCTAAAAAGAGAGAGATGGAGACCAGGTACTCCTACACCAAAGAACAGCTGGGCACAAATGTAACCATGAAAGAGGGGCAGAGTTGGTAGAGGTGCCCACTTCTGCAGGCCACTGCCTGGGTCTGTTTATGGCCAGCCTGGCCAGGCCCAGGAGCAGACCCACAAGTAGGTCCTCTGATCTGCCCACTGGGTGCCCAAAAGATCAGGAAAATGTAGCTGAAGTTCAACAAAAAAAAAAAAAAAAAAAGATTTTTCAAATAACAAACAAAAAGGGTGCATACCCCCACAACCAATGTATACGTGGCCCCACAGCACTGCAAAATAAAACAGTTGGACAGAGTCCACGAACTGCTGCAATTTGCAGTTACATAGGACTGCTGCACACAAACCCCTGCATCCCAGGCCCCTGATGGAAAGTGGGTCTCCTCCCATGTAGCCAGCTCTCCTATTCAGGGCCCCTGCCTCCCAGCAGCAAATAACTCCAGATTACCCTGGCTCATACTTAAGTGTTCAAGTGGTCCTTATTCACACAAGGTGAGCAGGCTGATGATTATAGCCCCCATACTGCCCACTCTCCCTATTACCAGGGAGAGCTTGGAGCTAGTGTGAAGATGTTGGAATGGGCAGCCAATCCCCCCACACATCAATTTACCCAACAGGGCACAAGATCCAGCCCAACATTCCCACTCTGGTCTGGCTTTACAGACAAAGGTTACAAACCACCTACCTAAAAACTTTAAAAACACTCAGATTCTTATTGCAGTTAAAGATTGTAATTAGATTGAAATCATCTTCAGGTGAAGAAATAACCAAGTAACTCAATTATTTAAACATCAAGGACTGCAGACTCAAGTAAAATTATTGCTGTCTGCCACAGATGAACCACAGCCATATTACTCTATTTCCTAATTTACTTTCCCTGATTGAGCAATTAAGGATGGGTGTGACTCAATTAGTGGCAAGCTACCTTCATGAACCACTGCAGTTCACATGGGAAAGGTATTGCTACACTGCTGCAGTTAAAAGGATTCCAAAAGTTTGACTGCAGATAGAAATTTTCCACCCAGGGATGATTAAAGAACAACAATGTGTTTCCATAGCAAGATGTGCTAGGAATGGAAGACAGACTTGCAGATGGTACTGTTTCCATGGGGGCCACTGACCATTTTCAGCAGTCAATATCATTGGGTTGGTACAGATTAAAATGAACCTTACAAATAGGCATGTCATGCCTGCTGGCCTTTACCTTACCAATTTAAGTGCTTAAAAATCTGAAGGCTGAATTCAGCAAGTAATTGGGAAATATTGCATTTTGTGGATTTGTTTTCATTACCAAAAAAAGGAAGGTGTTTAGGCATTCCAGATAAAGAGGTTCTCAGTGCTACCTAAAAACCACATTCTTCATTCAAGCCACATTGACAGGGGAATTCATTTATATTATTTATTCAATGCAGATTCATTGTTAACCAAGAGATAGCACATTTACTTCTGAAAATTGAAATGCTGATAAAAAGGTGGAGTAGATGGAATGTTTTGCTTATATTTCAACTTTGAATTCCAAAAAGATATGATATTTCACAAAACAACTCTGCAACAGTTTTGCAGACAGACCAGAGAAACTTATTTTGGACAGCTAGAAAAGTTGTGCTTAGCCAAAGCTGGCCTAAACATTTGCTGCTATCAAAATGTACCATGTACAGGAAGGTAGACCATGAGGAGATAGCAGACCAAAAGAAATACAGGAAAGAATTGATTATAATTAGACGAAATTTAACAAGTCTGGGTTGGAGGCAAAAATAAAAAGGAAATAATGGGAGAGGTGTCATTGTTTTCCCAGTCACTGGAAATCTGGCAATAAAATAATTGAACTAGCCTTCTTACAAGCAGTAGGCCATGAACTATTAAAAATTACACATCTACTAGCTGAATAAAATGATTTAAGATGTTTTACTCCACAAGCTCCACTGTTCCACATCTTGCATCTGATTAAACCTGGATGCAGCAGTTCAAAATTTATACACAAATGGGAACAGGAGAAGGCTATTCAGCCTCTTGTGCCTACTCTGCCATTCAATAGGATCATGGCTGATCCAACATTCTTCACATCCACTTTTATGCCCATTCCCCAAAATGTTGGGGCACAACTTTAAATTAGGCTGTAAGTTTCCCTCCTAAGCATGAGGCATTAGACAATTAGGACTTGTCCCAGAAATAGGGAGAAGGCCAGTGCTACAAGAACCCTGTAAAATGCACTTAGATGTATAACAGCATAAATTATGAAGGTTTAATTTCATGCCAGAAGTGCAAATTGAGAGACATAGCAAATGCAGTGGAAAATTTGGCAAGTTTTTTAAAAAAAAAGCACATGACCAATTTTCTGGCAAATTGGGTAAAACTGTAGGGTCAGGGGACATGGAAGTGGATGCAGGGTATTGATCAGAGTTAATCCAACAAAATCTAGGTGCCAACTGTTCAGTCCCAATTCTGTTTGGTGTGCAGATGCTGCAAAGATGATTCACAAGTGAAAGACAATTTGAAAAGATATTGCACTGAAGTTATTTATCTAGAATAGTGGTTTATTTTGAAGCAATAAATTTGTAACTATATACACATTTTCATTTCACATTAAAGCAAAATAAATTACTTCCTTGGAATGTACATGGAGAATGCCCATCAGAAAAATCAACTTTTACTTTAGTCATGGAATACTCCCTAATGATTTAAAAGAATTCTGTACAGTGATGAAAAGCAGAGTTTAAAAACCTACACTTAGTGTTTTAAATCTGTTCAATATAGACCTGCACAAAGAGGAGGAGGAAGGTGAGGGGGGGAAAACAGAATCATTGCAAGACTGGCAAGGTGGTAAAACAGAGGCATCACCAAAATTAGGCTACTTCACTGTTGGCAAATCTGTAGCACCCAAGAGGAGAGCTCTGGGTGAGAAAAATCCAGCACTGGAACACGAACTACAGCCTGCTGCAGGATTGGAGATTTCTCCTTAGACAAAATAGGAAACCAAAAAAAAAAAGGTATGTTTATTATTTTTCCCTCCCATTTTTAATCTCAAAAGCTTCTTAGCTGCAGCATCAATAACCAATGCCACTTACAGTATGTACAAGTCACTCATTCCTCAGCATATCAGTTCTATAAATTGCCCAAGTGTTTCAGCACATCTGTCTGGCTCATGGCTGCCAATAGAAAAAATAAAACAATTGTGCATAATATTCCAGCAATTGTGTATAGTCTTGGAGTACCATGAAAACATATTAAGGAATTTAGTTTAAGTGGATCTGCTTCAATTGGAAAACAAGTTAGCTTCCATTTAAAAAGAGGCAAACCATGAGCAACTTCAAACCATTAGTTTCATGGGCTGACATTAATGGAGTCCTTGTTTTCAGTCAATAATCGTTCCCTTTCGTATTCTTCCTCCATTCGCTCCTTGCGCCAGGGAAGCTTTGCTAGGACTGGCTTATGGAAGCCATTGTAGAGTGCAGCACCTGCCAGCAGAATTAAAAAGCCTAGAATTTGGAGACCGTGGAACTGCTCCCAACCCACTGCGAGACTCACTATCCAGATTACCAAGGTCCTCAGACTGTCCAAAACCATCCTTGTGGTTGCACTGATTTCTTTTGTGACACTAATACCAGCAAAGTTAAAGAATGCAATGCTCAAGATGTTTCCCAAGAGGGCTACAAAGATTAGTGGCTTTAGACCTATTTGACAGAAAGCATCCAATGCATCTTCAAGGACACCTCTGGGATTTCCACTGAATTGGCCCACAGGAATGTAGTACATTGGAATCAGCAGCAGAGTTAGGATGATGAAGCCAAACATTCCTAAGAGAAAAACAACAAAATTAGTTGCTAGCGTCAACCTGCTATAGACAACCAGACTTAAGAATAATTGACAGAAAGTAGGCAAGTTTGTAAATGGAATTTCCTACAAAAAAGGCTCATTCTGAATGACAATTCTTTTTTCAAAGTACTGTGTATTATCTTGATCTGAATATTCAGGAGCAGTAAAATCAGTCATCAAGTGTACTGGGAAGAAATCAATCCCCACTTTTGTCACGTGGAGTTTGCTAAAAAAGCAGGACTCCTCAATTTGACTTTCACGCGCAGATGGACAAAGCACAAACCAAGTTTCCATATTTAAAAATTATGGAGTTTCTGCAGTCTAAATCTATATTTGTGGGCAGTCGAACAGCTACTTGCTAGAACTCTAACCCACTGAATTCTGCTTTAATACAGAAATGCTAGATGTTATGGGCAGAGGAAGTGACTGGGAAGATGGCTGTGGTCCCTGAACACATGGTTTGTGAAGGTGATCCTCTGGCCAATCAGACCACCACTTTGAATCTGGAGAAGGGTGTTCTTGCTTGCCAGAGATACAAGCCTGACTGACTCACTTAATTCGTATACCTTTATGTCGCAGTTTATAGCAACCAGCAAGGGGAAAGAGTTATAAAAAGTTATAACCTGGCCATCTTCAGGCTTGAGAGTGAAACAGATCCATCCTTTCTGGAGGTCCAATGGCTTGGTGTCCATCTCATTCACCAACCTCCAAACCCCCAAGCTATTCATCCAACTGGTACATTGTTATTAAAAGATAGAAGGTCTTTATCAAAGATAGTAGGAACTGCAGATGCTGGAGAATCCGAGACAACAAGGTGCAGGGCTGGATGAACACAGCAGGCCAAGCAGCATCATAGGAGCAGAGAGGCTGACGTTTCGGGCCTAGACCCTTCATCAGGATTTCACAAGTTTCAAAATCTCCCCTCCTCCTACCGCATCCCAAAACCAGTCCAGCTCATCCCTGCCTCCCTAACCTGTTCTTCCTCCCACCTATCCCCTCCTCGCAAAGACTGCTCACTAGTTCACAGGCTGTCTACTTATTGCTGGCCAAATCTCCATTCATAAAACACACACTGGCTTATGATAGTCTGCAATGAGACCCTCCACCAAATGCTTGAGCAAACAGCTGGGTAACTGTATTCAGGTGACATTCCACAGGGTGGAGTGCTGGGTCCCTTGTGAATGCCATAAACAAGTGTAGATGAGAATGTGGGGCAAGGGTGATATTGGGGTGGGGGCAAGTGATCAGATTGAAACAAGTTACTTATTTTGCTCTCTACAAGATGAAGAGCAAAATCAGGTCAAATCCATCCTTTAGTACTGGAGACATGCTTGCAAAGTGAAATATCGGGGTGCGCACTAAGGTGGTTGACCGGAGTCTGGCTAGAAATTTGTGTATCCCTAAGTCTTCAGAAAATGCTGAAATTTTAGCTTAACACTAATGACAAAAAAAGGCAGAAAATAAATTCAAAAAAGGCATGTCACAACTGTGTGTGATTTGTATCTTCATACATATTGACAAAACAAATTGGTGAGAAAGTTGATTTCTGACAGCTTCTGGAACAATATTCCCATAATCCACTACTTCCAATATAATATTGTTTACTGAGACATGGCCAATTTGTATTTTTATAGCAATCTCTAGAAAAGGCAATACCATTAAAATTCCACTTAGATTTGAAAGCAACAGTCTTGTTCAAACAAGCAGTTAGCCTTAAAACATAAAGGGCAGGTATGACAAGAGTTGGCCAAGATTGATTGGTAATAGACTAGAAAAAAAAGGGGTAGTCTGGTGAAACAAAAATAATTCACATATATTCCAAATGCAGTGAAAATCCTGAAGATAATCCATCAATAACTCACTAGGGCAAGCTGAAGGAGGTATTAACTTAATACTAAAAAAATAAAAATATTGTAAAGAATAATCTAAGTCAAAGAATTGAGAGAGAGGTGTTTTAGAAATAGAGAAACCACAAGAGTGGATAAAAATAATTGGGTGAGGTGGGGGAAGAGAGAGTAGGCTAGCCAGGAATATTAAAAATACTTAGCCTGCCCAACCATGTGTAATGGCTAATTATGTTAATATTGGAGCAGGGGCAGGGTCTGTATGGTATACTGTTGGTGCTATTTATGTTGTCGTGCTTCATTCAGCCCATTAGAAGGGTAGTATGTGTACAGTATTATAGTGGGGACAAGGCAATGAAATAAAAAAGGGACAAGATTCTTAATTTACACTTTTCTGTCAATGAAAGTTAAATGCAATGATACAACTTTGAATTGATGACAGTGTTGTGCCACTAACTTCAGAATGAAACTAAATTGCCAGCATTATTTTCTAGTTTAATTCATGGAAATGTGGGCACTGCCATATAGTCTAGCATTTATTGCCCACCCCAGATTACATTTTCCCCAGTTAAGAGTCACCACACTTTGCTACAGACCTAGAATCACATGTAGGCCTAGCAAGGACAGATTTCTCCCTTTTAAAAAAAATTAGGGCATTAGTGAACAAGATTGTTTGTAACACTTGACAATAGCTGCATGGTCACCAAGGCTACTTTTGCATTCAAAATTCTAGTGAAATTTGAACTCAATATCTGCCATGGGAGATCAAAGAGTAGGAAACTTATGCTCATCCATCAGGTATTGTTAAGTCCTAGGGGCGAATAAAAATGTCTAATTATCCCAAAGCTAGCTTTCTCTCCTACTGAGGAGTATTGTCAATACAGGAACCAGCTCTGACAGAAATCCAAGTTTCTTTGTAGATGCAACCTTAGTGGTTAGCACTGCTGCCTCACAGCACCAGGGACCGGGGTTCAATCCTGCTCCTCACCTGCCAAACTGGGCAACTGTGTTGAGTTTGCACATTTTCTACTCCCTGCACCCCCCCCTCCCCACCCCCACATCTGCGTGGGTTTCCTCTGCGTGCTCTGGTTTCCTCCCACAGCCCAAAAGATGTGTAGGGTAGGTGGGCTGGCCTTGATAAATTGCCTGAAGTGTTAAGGGATGTTTAGATTTAAGTGGGTTTGGGGAATGGGTCTGGATGGGATGTGCCAAGGATCAGTGTGAACTTGTTGGGCTGAAGGGCCTGTTCCCACACTGTAGTGATTCTATATAAATAAAGATATTCACCGCAAGAGCGAGCGCTCCTAAATAGGGAGGGAGAGGGAGAGTCTACGGCTACTCAAAAATTAGCCGAATGACAATTGTGCATAAAAACGGCATAAAAGGGGAGTGTAAGATTAAGCTTCAAATCATGTGTAAGGTTTTTGGAGTAGATCTGTAGCTTGGGTTGTGGGTGTGGAGGTTGGTTGGCTCGCTCACTCAAGCCGGTTTGTTGTTCCGCAGATGTTTCGTTACCGTGCTTGGTAACATCCTCAGTGCAGCCTCTGATGAAGCGTCGGTGTGTTTTCCTGCCTGGTTTTTAAACTCCAGGGTCCGTTGCGATGGATTGCCTCACTTCCGGGTTTCCTCCGTAGTGGAATGTATACAGGGTCGAGTTCAATGTGTTTATTAATAGCATGCTTCGTGGAGTTCTCATGCTTGTCTCTGCCTAGCTTGTCCCAGTCGAAGTTGTGGTTCTCCTTGTCCATGTGGATTGAGATGAGAGAGTATTGGTCGTGTCTTTTTGTAGCCAGTTGGTGTTCCTGTGCTCTTGTTGTTAGTTTCCTTCCTGTTTGTCCAATGTAGTGTTTCTTGCAGTCTCTGCAGGGGATCTTGTAGATGACGTTGGTCCTGTCCATGGAGGGGAGCAGGTCTTTAGTTTGGGTGAGCACTTGTCGTAGGGCTGATGTGGGTGTGCGCCACTCCGATGCCCAGTGGTCATCAAAGTCTTGTGGTGAGTTCTGACGTGTTCCTAATGTAAGGTAGTGTGATGAGTGTGTTGGGGTGTGTAGAACCTTTCTGATGCTGTTCCTGTAGGCATCTCCTGACCCAGTTCTTTGGATATCCATTATCCTTGAACACTTGGAAGAGGTATTCCTCCTCCTCTTGGCATAGTCCTATGTTGCTGCAGTGTGTTGTTGCCTTTTTAAATAGTGTTCACTATTCCTGGAAGCATGGCACTCCACGAAGCATGCTATTAATAAACACATTGAACTCGACCCTGTATACATTCCACTACGGAGGAAACCCGGAAGTGAGGCAATCCATCGCAACGGACCCTGGAGTTTAAAAACCAGGCAGGAAAACACACCGACGCTTCATCAGAGGCTGCACTGAGGATGTTACCAAGCACAGTAACGAAACGTCTGCAGAACAAACCAGCTCAGCGAGCCAGCCAACCTCAACATCAACTTCATGTCTCCATGGTTTAAGTTCCATAATAAGCAATTATTCCAGCCATGTTACAAAGTGACACCCCAGTTAAGAATATTGCACAATGTAATATACTGTTCATTAAAAGACCAACACCCTCCCTGAAGAGGGCTCAAATATACACAATTAATGCTTGCTCCTCAATGGTGAAAGTATTGGCATCAATATTACATACCTTCAGTACCCACAGCTCGAAGTGGGTGTACATCATGTTTATAAACAAATTTCTCCTCGAGCACCATCTGAATAGCCACAATGATCTGTGCAATGATAATTAGGAGGTCCCCTAAACAGCCCAAAAAAAAAACACGTTAAAAAAAAAGGACCGAAATCGGAAGTTTACTACTTCAAAACTCAGTTTCTTGCCTAGAGAGAAGTCAGAAAAAGAAACAGTTCAGTAGCTGGCACTCCGACAGTATTTGAAACCATTGATCAGGTAAATGCATCAGAAAGAATATTTGTGGCCTGTTTCTACTCTGGACAACATACCATTTTGTTCAGAAGCAGCAGATAAATCAGAACTAGCAACATCAGAAACTAAGTAAACTTAGCAATATTGGAGACGGTGCTAAAATCTTCAGCAAAATGTATGTGGTAGGTATTATTAACTAACAACTGTGGGCAGTGATTTCAGAATGAAGTATCTGCAGTTCAGTTACTGAAGGTGGCGCTGTAGCAGGTAGGGACTGTACTCCAGGAAGTAGTCACATTTGCAGTCAGTAGTCAGACCAGAGGGTATGTTTGCACGTGAGACAGGAAAGGGGACCAGACAGCAGGGGCTTCAGCCATTACGACTGTTTAACATGAAATTTCCCTGCCAGGAGTATGAGGTTCTTCTTAGCAGTACCAGAATCTGCACATTACTTTTGAGGCGATGTTAATTTAATCTGTGGATTTAACAGTCATTCATGGATCTGTCATTGCTGGCTGGAACAGCATTTGTTGTCCATCTAGTTGCTGTTAGAGTGGTGGTGAACTGCCTTGAACTGCTGCAGTCCATTTAGGTTAGGTTTTCTCCATGTGATAGAAGAACAGTTCAGAATTTTTGACCCAGTGATAGAAGGAATGGTGATATATTTCAGTCAAGATGGTGTGACTGGAGGGGAGCTTGAAAGAGTTGTTGTTCCCATTCATCTGTTGCCCTTGTCATAGATGGTATTGGTCAAGCATTTCAAGTGTCTGGTGCATTTCTGCAGTATCTTGTAGATGGTGCATAACACCATTGAGTGACAGCAATGAGTGAGTGAATGTTTAAGGAGTGGTGCCTACTGGCAAATGTAGTACAACAGTTAAGTTTCCATTTGAGCCCAAACCTAGCTATTGTTCATGTCTTGCTGCACTTTAACATGGACTGCTTCATTAGCTAATTTGCTGCTATTCAGATATCAAACATCTCTACTTCTAAGCTTGTGGAGACAAGGTCATTGAAGAAACAGGTGAAGATAGTTGGACCTAGGAACACTTTCCTGTGAAATTCCTGAAGAGATGTCCTAGAAATGACTGGCAACCAACCATACTGATGAAATGGCTGAACATTGTCTACACGACCACAATGCATTCAACAAGGTTCCCCATGGTTGACTGGTTAGTGAGTTTAGATCACGTGGGATCCCAGAGGAGTTGCCACTAGAATGCAAAATTGGCTTGAAGGTAGGAGACAAGGTGGTGGCAGTAGAAGGTTGCTTTTCAAACTGGAGGCCTGTGAGCAGTGGTATGCCACAAGGATCAATGCTGAGTCTGCTGTTTTTTTGTCATTTACATAAATAATGTTCTGGATATGAATATGGGAGGCATAGTTGAAGATGACACCAAAATAGGTAGTGTAGTGGACAGTGAAGGTGGTTCTCAGTACAATGGAACCTTGATCAGATGAGCCAAGGAGTGGCAGATGGATTTGAATTTAGACAAATGAGGTGTTGCACTTTGGAAAAGCAAGTCAAGCCAGGACATGACAGGGCTGCAGGGAGAGGTGCCAAACAAAACAAAAAACAAAAAAAAAAAAAAAAAAAGGGGTTCAGGTACATCATTCCTTGAAAAAAAGTAGAGTCAAAAATAGACAGGCTGGTGAAGGCAGCATTTGGCATGCTTGCCTTCATTGGGTCAGAACATGGAGTGCAGAGCTGGGACATCATACTGTGGCTGTCCAAGACATTGAGATAACTCAATACTGTGTACAATTCTGGTCACCCTTCTAGGAGGATGTAAAAGTGGATTTACAAGGAGACTGGAGGATTGGAGTTATAGGGAAGGAGTTGAATAGGCTGGGACATTCAATGCATTCCACTTTGGCCACTCTCCTAGCCTGTACGAGTCCATCCACAGACTCCACACTTAGTCAACGCTACCTGCCCCTCCACCTTTTTCATCTGCAAAGATAATGATGCCCTCGGTTCCTTTGTCCAGGTTGTTAGTGTAGGATGTGATTAGTGGTGGTCCCAAAACCAACCTGTGCAGAACTCCACTAGTTACTGGCTGCCATCCTGGGAAAAAAAGTGATCTTTTATCCCTACCCTCTGCCAGTCAGGACATCCTGTATCCATGCCAATATCTGGCTGCTATCACCATGGGCTCTCATCTTATTTAGCAGCCTCCTGTGTGGCAGCTTGTCAAATGCCTTCTGGAAATTCACACAGATCATGTGCATTGGCTCGCCCTTTGAAGGGAGAATGAGCAAGCTAGACAGAGAATTAATAGATTTATTAGGCATTACCTCCCCTTGACAAAACCATGCTGACTCAGCCCTATTTAAATCATGCACTTTCAAGTACTCTGCAAACTCATGTTTAATATGGACTCTTAAAATCCAGACAGACATGTCAGGACTGCAGAGCTTAAATCTTGTTAGTTGTGGAAGTGCTTAGCCCCAGCTATCATTTGCTGTTTATGCTGCCTGGCATAAATGTAGTCATACTTTGTACCTTCAACTTAAGGCTTTGTGGTCTTTGCATACCCTCACCCACTTCATTCAGCCAGCTTAAAAACAGAGGGGAGGATGTGCCACACCAAGGTTGCAGACTGTTAGTATCCCGAAAACAAAAAAGAAAGATAGCCAGTTTTTGAGGGGTGGAAAAAACAAAAAAAAAAAAAGACAGCAGCTGCTGAGTGTTTAAAAAAAAAGTAAACTTTCGGACCTTAGTAAATCTCAATTATAGCCATTCCTCTATTTAGATTTCCTTTGGGGCCAGCAAGAAGAATGCAGTCTCCCTCCCCTGCAAAAGTCTCAAGATCTTCTACACATTCACCCATTTCTCACTCCAGATGCCATCTGACCCTCTTGTATTTCCTGCACTAATTGTTTGACTTCTGGCATTTGCCAAGTTGTGTTTCGGGATCTCTATGGAAATCCTTAGGACGATCTAGAATTCTAGCAGCTGTCGAGTAAACAGCTCATTGTAGAGACCAGGCAGCTATTCATCCCAGAGTCAGAGACAAAAGGTGTTAAAGTTTGATCAGCAAAATAAAAAACCAAATACAAGTACAATTAATTTAGGCATTAACTAACATATTGGGAAATGGAGAAAAAAAAACTGTATGGAGGAGATCTCCATCATCTATAAGATTAATAGGGTGGTTATGGTAGGGAATCTTAACTTTCCAAGCATACTCAGACTGCCAGTGTTAAAGGGCTTGGGTGGAGAGGAATTTGTTAAATGTGTACAAGAAGATTCTGCTTCAGTACATGGAGGTACTTACCAAAAGGTGGTGCAAAACTTGACCTGCACTTGGGAAATAAGGCAGGGCAAGTGACTGAGGTGATAGTGGGGGAGCACTTTATGGCCAGTGGCCACAATTCTATTATTTTCAAAATTGTGATGGAAAAGGATAGACCAGATCCAAAAGTTAAAGTCCTGAATTGGAGGAAGGCCAATTTTGACAGTATTAGACAACAACTTTCAAAAATTGTTTGGGGGCAGCTGTTTGCAGGTGGGGGTGGGTGGTGGAACCAGCTGAAAAAATGGGAAGCCTTTTTAAAAAAAAAAAAAAAGAAAGAAAGAAAGAAAGGGAGAGCACATCCAGAGACAGTATGTTTCTGTTAGGGGGAAGGGCAAGGCTGGTGGGTGTAGAGGATGCTGGATGACTGGAGAAATTGAGGTTTTAGCAAGAAGGAAGCATATGTCAGGTATTGACAGCAGAGATCGAGTAAATCCCTAGAAGGGCATAGAGGCAATAGGAGTACACTTGAGAGAAATCCAGAGGTCAAATAAAAAAAGGGACGAGAGACAGCTTTGGCAAATAGGATTAAAAGGAGAATCCAAAAAAGGGATTGTATAAAATATATTTAAAGACATAAAAAAGTAACCAGGGAGAGAATAGGGCCCCTTAAAGATCAGCAAGGCCACCCATGTGTGGAACTGCAGAAGATGGAGAAGAGGAGGAGGACTAAATTAGTATTTTTTAGTGTTTACTGTGGAGATGAATATGGATAAATCAAGAACTTGGGAAATAGTGACATCTTCAAAAATAAAAAATTTTTTAAAAGTAGCACAAAATGCCCATATTACAGGTGGTGGTGGTGCTGGATGTCTTAAAATGCAAAGGTGGATAAATCCCCAGGTCCTGATCAGAGGTATCCTAAAACTCTGTGGGAAGCTAAGAAAGTGATGCATGGGTCCTTGCCGAGACATTTGTATCGTCAATAGCCACAGGTAAGATGCCAGAGGACTGGAGGTTGGCTAACATTGTGCCGCTACATAAGAAAGGTGGTAAGGAAAAGCCAGGGAACTACAGACCAGTAAGCCTGACATCAGTGGAGGGAATCCTGAGGGACAGGATTTACATGTATTTGGAAATGCAAAGATTATCTAGCCTCAAATAATGCTATCTTGTAATGTTGATTTTGTCTAACACACCCTGTGCAATGTAACCAATATGCCTCTAACATTTTAGAAGCTTTGATTTGTACATCCTTGCTTACTATGATCTGCCTGTAAGCAAAGTGTCATGTACTGAAGTACAGTGAAAAAAATCAAACATGGCTTTGTGCATGGGAAATCATGTCTCACTAATTTGATTGAGTTTTTTTGGAACAGTGAAGAGAATTAATGAGGGAAGAGCAGTAGATGTGATCTATAGGGACTTCAGTTATGCATTTGACAAGGTTCCTCATGGTAGATTGATTAGCAAGATTAGGTCACACAGAATAGAAGGAGAACTAGCTCAAAGGTAGAGGACAGAGGATGGCGGTGGAGGGTTGCTTTTCAGACTGGCGGTCTGTGACCAGCAGTCTGCCACAAGGATCAGTGATGGGTCCACTACTTCTCAACATTTATATAAGCAATTTGGATGTGAACATAGAGATATATAATTAGTAAATTTGCAGATTACACCAAAATTGGAGGTGTAGTGGACAGCAAAGAAGGTTACCTCAGTACAATAGGGTCCCAATCAGATGGGCCAAATAAACCAAGGAGTGGCAGATGGAGTTTAAATTAGAGAAATGAGGTGCCACGTTTTGGAAAGGCAAACAGGGCAGGATTTACACACTTAAAAATGGTAAAGTCCCTGGGACATTGCTGGACATAGACCTCAGAGTGCAGGCTCATAGTTCCTTAAAAATGGAGTTGTAGGTAGACAGGATAGTGAAGACGATGTTTGGCATGCTTGCCTTTATTGGTCAATGCATTGACTATAGGAGTCGGAAGGTCATGCCGAGACTGTACAGGACATTGGTTAGGCTACATTTGCAATACTGCATGCAATTCTGGTCTCCCTGCTATAGGGAGGATGTTGAGAAACTTGAAAGGGTTCAGAAAAAAGATTTACAACAACATTGCCAGGGTTGGAGGGTTTGAGCTCCAGGGAGAGGCTGAATAGATTGGGGCTACTTTCCCTGGAGCAGTGTCTGAGGGGTGACCTATTAGAGGTTTACAAGGTCTGAGGGGTATGGATAGGGTAAATAAGCAAGGTCTTTTCCAGGGGTGGGGAGTCCAAAACTAGTGGGCATAGGTTTAGGGCAAGAGGGGAAAATTTAGAAGGGACCTAAGGGGCAATGTTTTTCACCCAGAGGGTGGTGCTTGTCTAGAACAAACTGCCAGAGGAAGTGGAGGCTGGTACAATTACAACATTCCAAAGATATCTGGATGGATATATGACTAGGAAAAAAGGTTAAGGGATATGGGCCAAATGGGACTAGATTAATTTAGGATACCTGGTCAGTACAGTCAAAAATCAGACCAAAGGGTCTGTTTCTGTGCTGTATATCTCTATGACTATGTTGAAACTGACACCAGTTTGAGCTACTTGTCCAACTGGTTTCTTTTCCTACTCTATCAATCAATACTGATAACTGAACAAGCAGGCATTAGAACTAGCCTAGAATCAAATTTAGAGTATTAACACAAAGCTGGTTCAACACCAATCCATATACAGCATTAGGTATACCATAAGCACATTTACTCACCAGTTATAACATGAGATAACTTGCTGCCTTGGTCATTATTTCCACTGACAAAGTCTGCTAGGCCCACTACCACAAGACCACAGATAGTGAAAAAAATCCCCACCCACTGGCTAGCTGTTAAATGACGGCCTAGGAAGGCAACAGAGAGCAGGCCAGTGAAGATGATAACAGCTCCTCGTAACATCTGAAAACTGGATGCACTGGTCAAGTTTAAAGCTGGAAGATAAAATAGCACAGGGTAAAGAAACATTTCAAGTTTATGGGGCTGACTTGATGAAAGTTGCTAGAAAACTAAGTAAAAACAGATCAGCTTCAAGGAGATACATGATCAGAGAAAAGTCAAACAGACCCACAGCAACTGAACAAGGTTGCTCGATCTGGAGGATCAGTGATCATGCAAGTTCTAAATACATTCACTGAGAACCATAGGGGAATGTCAATGCATGTTGGTAGCTCAGAACCGATGTCCTTTCAGGAAAAGTGGGTTACTCTAGTGTCAGTGTTCAACATCCAATTGCATTCCTTCTCCTCCCTTCTTCCCCAACCCCCTCCTTTCCACATCCCCACCCCTCACTACTGCGGAGTTAAAGTAAACCAAGTACAAACACAAAGATCAGAGTATCTTGACTAACCAATGAGAACAATTAAACCAGTAATACTTAAATGCTTGAAAATGGTTTTATGGATTGGTACCACGTTGCTAAGGCTTAGATTATCTATCAACACATTGAGAATTTCTAAGTTACTTTCATTGTGCAGCATTCGATTTCTTAATTTTCACTTAAGGGGGCCAGGATTACAGCTGATGAACGCAGCCTCTAGAGCAGCAAAGCCTCCTTTAATGACCATCACTAATTACACAAAATATTGAAAAAGGATACCAGGTACAAACAGGTCTTTCCCACAAGATGGGGAAAATTTCCTCATGGCCATTAAGTCAGACCTTAAAATTGTGTCTACCGCTGCAAATGTTTTAAAGAGGTCAGAGCAAAGCAGTATGGATGCTTATTTTAGGCATTATTCAACTTGATCTATGATCTAGCTGGATATTAGCCATGTTTAGTTCAGCTACCCTCCCATCAACAGTAACTGTATTTATTACCAAACAGACATCTGCATACTACACATTTGTAGAAACCAAGGCTGCCCCAGTCAGCAGTAAATTTAATGGTACCAAAGGTAGAATAGTGGACTCATGGTAACTTCAGGACAACATGTTCCCTTTTATTTTGGCAAAAGGAAAGCAAACAAGTTGCCATTCAGTTGTTTTCGTGTGTTGTCTGAGGATAATGGTCAGATGACCAAAAATGCAGTGCATTCAAGAAGTTAATTCCATTCAATTTGGAACACCAATGGTCCTGAGATCACTTACATTAACCCAACATGATCAAAGGAACTTGGATTAAGACTTCCGTGCAACTTGCAAATACAAACCAAAATACAATTGATTGCAGTCCATTTTCAACCACAACATTGCAGTAAGTGATACCAACACTAACACAGAAAACATGTTAAAAACATACAAGGCAGCATGGTGGCTCAGTTCTTAGCCCTGCTTCCTCAGCAATAGGGACCTGGGTGACTGAGCAGTTTGCTTATGTGACTGCATGGGTTTCCACTGGGTGCTCCAGTTTCCTCCCACAGTTCAAAGATGTGCAGGCTAGGTGGACTGGCCATGTTAAATTGCCCTGTATTGTCCAGGGTTGTGTAGCCTAGGTGTATTAGCCATGGTTACTGGGAGTTTTAGGGATTGGGTGGTCTTCAGAGGGTTAGATTTGACAGGCCAAATTATCCATTTCTGCCCTGCAGGGCTTCTAAGAAACTAACTTGTTGTTACAGAGCAACTGTGTTCTTGATGCAATCTTTTGCTTAGTGAACATTTGAGCACCATTTGCTTGAAGTCACTGTTTTTCTGTTCCAGTGATTCATTGGTAACGTTTGTTCTGTGGTACTGAGTCAGACAGACCCAGAAAGTCCAATTTTGATGGACCTAAAAACATGTACAGATCAGGAACTGCAGCAGCAGGGGACATAGAAAAACTAATGAAATTCAGTGTCCTCACAGGGGATACAAATGATTAGGAAATCAAAAAAAGTAAAAATTTGTTGCTAAATGCTGCTAGTGGTCAGCAACAGTGAATCAGGTGCAACAACTCAAGTTGTGTATTTGTAAAGATACTGAAGACAAACAACTCAGTAAACAAAGTATACAAGTCAATAAATATTTGTTTCAGAAACTCCACGTGATCCCAGTTATGAAAATGCTGGCTAGATATTCCTGGAATTTAGGAATCACTGGTTAGATCAGCATTTAGCTATCTGATTATTTTCTTCATTTTAAATGAGAAAGGGGAACTCCAATGTGTTACTCCAGAGCAATATTGGGATTGGCTCACTAGCTTATTTGAACATGAGCCATTCTGTTCTATCAAAACTGCTTGAAAACTTAAAGTTGACAGCATCTGCCTAGATGCTATAAATTGCAAACCTGATGCTGCAAAGTTCACCTTGGTACTATCTGGGGACCAACGCTAAAATGGAGCGCAGTCTCTGACCACTTGAGGAACAGGATGACACTGCCTGACCCCCATTGCCCCTCCTGGGAGGACACTCCACAAATATCCCAGTCTCAGGACAGCCTCAACCAATCTGTGGAAAAATCCACACACACGCATGCACCACACTTAAATGTAGGTCTTTGCTTCACCCTCAGCAATTCTCAATACCAACTTTGAGGGTTTCTCACTCAACCTCTTAATTGGGTCAAAAAGTTTCATATTGTGAACAGGCACACTAGACAAAATGGGAAGTAAACAACCTCTAATTCACTAAACTGAAACCATATACTTTTGAACCTTCACTACAACTCGGTTATAACCGAACAGCAGAAGTATAACTGGGTAGCATGTCTTAAGAAAACCAAATGTTACTCAGAAGTTGCTCCACTCGCAACTATTTGAAAATGTAGCTGCAGAATGCCAAGAGAAATATTAGTGTTTAATTATTCCTGATCAGAGTATTTTGGTTTCTTTGCCAATCCTTTTGAAGGAGTCAGTCAGTACTACTTACCGATGTACATAATACTGGTGGCAGTCATGTCACATAGTGCAGGGGGTAGGAAAATGAAAGAGTTGAACTTCCTTGCAGAAGCCATTTGGGGTTCTGGTTTTCGTCGATCATGACACACGATTATGTAAAACACAGCTAAACAGGAGACCTCCCCAAGAAACATTCCTACTGCCTGCAAGGAACAAAAAGATGGCAAATAAGAAAAGCATTTTTCCCTAGCCCAGCTGAATTTTGAGCTTCTTCCAGGTCACGTTACAAAACCTCCTTCAGTTGGAAGTTCTTATCACTAGAGATAGAGATAGTGTCTCCAACTGCTTTATGTATTAGCAAAGTGTTGAAAATCTGAGGGCTGACAACTGAAGCAAAATTGCAAACAATTGCTTCATAAAATGAGTTTTGGTGAAAGGGGGGCAGGAGTAGAGAAAGAAAGAAGGCTTCTAAAAATCACATGATCAAATAAAAAGGACAAGAACATCTGTGTATGGTAGTAGAAAAGATGCAGGGCAATGCCATGAAAAAATATTGTTTTAAGTCAGTAGGGTTCAGGAAGCCACTGGTTTGAAGTTGTGGTTTCAAGGGAGTAAGGTCAAAAACAGGGTAAAGGTAAAAACCAGGTCAACCATACTGCAGCAAGAATTGTTCTGCCTACCTAACCACCTTATAGCTTAAATCAAATCAGAAGCTAAACTCAAGTTAGTTGTGATATTATTGCTAAGATTTTAAAAAGGGATTTTCAGGAATGCTGATAGTGCATGCTCACCTGAAGGAAAGGATGATTAAACAGGTGTGTCTGTGATCCATGGCAACCTTTGGCACTAAATCCATCAGCCCACCTGGAAAAAAAAAAGTGTCAAAAAAAGTTAATTTGTCATTGCTTGCTCAATTGTACAAAAAAGGTTGTGGCTTGCTTGTCCTGCAAGCTAGAAAGCAAATGGAAACTCTTACTCAACTCAAAGGAGATTTAACAGGAGGCTGAGTGAAACACAAGAGAAGACAAACAATACAACCAAAACAGTGGGAAACATCCGTTACCTCAATGTCAACAAGCTTGCTGCAAAAACAGTACATGGAAAGCCGATGGGGTGGGGGTGAAAAAATAGTCTCCCATAACATTAGAGACTTCCAAGTGATGATCTGGCTCTCCATGAGTAAATGCTCCACTGCTTAGGGCAGCCTTGGCTTCAGGGATCCAAGCTGGAACCTTTGTAGTTGAAAAAAATATTCTGTATTGTGTGCAGCACATATACATTCAGAAGCTGACAAAGTCTTTATTTATTGCTCATTGCTTCTGACACCAGCTCTCACCTAAAACAAAAGCCTCTATCCAAAATAATTTCTAACACCCAACTGTAATCACTTAAGTTTTCTGCTCAGCTCTGGCACAACATGCTGCACAGGTATCCAAAATATACAGCTCCCAAGATGGTGCACAATTGAGTGGAGAGTTGTAACCCTTAACAAGGATTTAACCTGGTTGTACAGTGTCAGATCATTTGTGAATGGGATGAACAGCAGGTTGAAAAACTCCCATGAGTCAAACTTTTACTTTGATAACACCTCCAATCTGTGGAAATTCCCACCAGCAGGAATTAATGTGAATGTTTGGACAGTACAGAAAATAAGCTTATGCACAGAAGAAACTTATTGCAGGAGTGTCCTGGGTATACGGATGAAATGAAGGAAGTGAAAAGAGAACAAGGATGCCAAACATCAGGTTTCAGAACTCAACAATCCACAAGTGGGTAACAGGGCACACTACAGTTGCTCAACATTTGGAAAAGCTGCCATAACAGAGATACATCTGTTAAAATTGTCACAGTACTGTAAGATTAAATACACATTGATGCTTTTTGCCAAGGGATTCTATGCATTTGCATGATGTGGCTACTATTGTAGTTTGAACTATTTCCTCCAATTAGATAACATTGACAAGTATCATGGTTCTCTGGTCAGCAGCTAGATAGTTAAAAGTGAATCCATGCTGCACTGAATGGTCATAAAGCAAAGCTAAGCAGTGACTGAATTGCATCATACTTCTCTCCACAAAAGTATTACTTGGTCAGCAGTTGAATTGAACAATAAATGTTGTTAGATCATCTTTCAAGACAGTAATGTTCAACAAACTTCTGCTTACTTTGCTGTTTGGTTCTGCGATGTGTCTGAACATTTCAAATGCATCAGCAAAAGATTTTTCTTGGATTGAAAGTCTGTTCCACAGGAGGTTATTGGAGAGACAATGTCTCTGGACTCATGGGCTGTCACAAGGTGCACGTTGGCTTAGTCAGCACTGCTGACTCAGATCCAGGGAGCTGGGTTCGTTTCTACCTTCAGAAAATGGGAGTTTGCACACATTCTCCCGAGTCTGCGTGGGTTTCCTCCAGCTGCTCTAGTTTCCTCAGTCCAAAGATGTGCAGATTGGGCAATTTAGCATGGCCAATCCACCCAAAATGTCCAGGGATGTGTAGGCTGTATGCATGAGCCTTGAGAAGTACAGGGTTACAGGGATAGGGCAGGGGTGGGACATTGAGGGTCATTACGGACACAATGGGCCAAACAAACAGTCTACTTTCACAGGGGGTCCTACTCCAGTTGCCATTGGATGCTGACTCAGCACAAGAGCATACCTGGCAAATCAAAAGCCAAGGCCAAACCAAAAAAAAAAACCAACTCACAACACACTCAATCCATTGCCAACTGGAATCAAGTACCACTATAGTCCTCACTGAGGAGTCCTCTATGCAAATCAGTAACTGGACACCACAACATTCACCCAAAGGCAAGTTGTTGAAAGAGGCCACTATTATTAAAACTGTTCTGACACTGGTTATCACTGACTCAGGTGGAACTGGACCCAAACTTGACATGCTGCACCACAGGAAGTCTGGGTTTAAAAAAAGGGAAAGAGACATGCAACAGAAGCCCTAGAGAAGGGCAGAAAGCATAAGGGAACTCAAGAAAGCAATTAGGAAGGTAAAGAGCCATTAAAAATACATTGGCAAGAATCTCAGCGTATTCTTACAGAATATCCATAGGATGAGAATAACCAGGGAAAAAAGGAGGCCCTCTTAGGTAACAAAGGGGCAATCTGTGATAAAGGAGAAGATGGACATTGGTAAAGTGTTACCAAGTACTTCACACCCTTTACTCAGGAGAATGCAAGTACAGCATTCATGAGTGATATTCTTGAACAGATTGTTTAGCAAGGTCGTATAGAGGTTTTGGCACATTTAGAGATGGACAAGTCCCTAGGTCTCGTAAATTATATCCCAGGCAGCTGTAAGAGGAGGAAGAAGTTAGAGGCTCTGACCCAATTTTAAGTGGTCTCTGGCCACAGGTGAAGTGCCAGAGGTCTGGAGGCAAGCTAATTTGGTTCACATCACAATGTGATCAGAGATGGATCAGGGGAAAAAAAAACAAATTATTTGCACAGAAACTATTGAAAATAATAATGGGAAAATTAATCTCCATTTAGAGAACATTTCATCAGGGATAGTCAGCGATGGCTCTGTCAAAGGGAGGTCATGCCTAATAAATCTAGTGAAACTTTTCAAAGAGGTGACCAAGTGGTTGGATGAGGGTAGGGAGGTTGATGTAATGTATATGGATTTCAGCAAGGCCTTAACAAGCTCCCACATGGAAAACCAAAAGCTAAAAGCTCATGGGATGCAGGGTAACTTAGCATATTGGATCCAAAATTGGTTTAGCAATCGGAGACAAAGGGTGGTTGTGGAAAGCTGTGTGTATGGACTGGAGCCCGGTACTTGATGTACCATAGGGAACTTCATGCTAGATCTGGTGCATTTGAAAACACCAAACCCTTAAACTAGAACTGAGCCAGACCTTTAAGAGAAGCTGCTGTTCAAGTCAACAAGAGACAGAACTTCATTTTTCTCCCCTAATATAGAAACTGAACACAAATCTTTAAAATATGTTAAGCTGTTAAATACATGTAGCTCAACTGAAGAAAATTTAAACTGCAATTTCAGACACAATTGACTATCAATATCAAAAAGCAGCCTTTTGGCATGAAGTCCAAATGCTCTGTGGATCTTCCCTGTGAAGGTGACCCTTATGTTTGTAATGAGAAGTTAGTGAGGGAAAAAAAAAAAAAAAAAAACAAACTTACTAAACCTGGCAGCATCGGTGAAAGAAACAGTTAACATGGAATCCAAATGACCAAGATTCCTGATGCTGAATTGGCCATTTGGGTTGCTAGTGGGAGTTCTTTACCTTATGTCCTCACTTGGATGACAAATCTTATCACTGTCAGCTTGCAGAAACAGCTGCTCTAAACTCATTCCACCCAATGATGCACTGGGTCATAGAGGACAAACCTATATAGATGGTCCAACAGATTCATATTTACACACTGGCATCCATTTTTTCCCACCCCTTTAGGCTTCTGGAACCCATTTCAGTCCCCTCCTCAAAATATGAGTGTTGGAAAAGGAGTCTCTATGGCATAAACCAAACAGTTGTTTCTCACCACACATTTAACACTTCAAAAAAATTTTAAAAAGTGGTCTTTGGATTCTGTAAGCAAACTTCTTGTTGGGTGGTGATAATTTTGGCAATATTCAATTGTTTCTAGGTTATGATTGTTGAGTTTCACATTTTATGAAGGATAAATGTTGGTGACAATGCAAAGGTCTGCAATTTAAATGAAATATTCTATGGCACTAAAGTTTGATACAGGAGATTAGAATAGCTTGTACACTGCAGTTGTACTATTAAGCCTGAGAAAGCTACTACTTGCCTTTTAAGCAAGGTCTTGCAAAACACAATCAAATGACAGACCAGATGAGAACTCCACCTCAAAGTATGCTTACGAGAGGAAGCACTGACTCCTCAGCCTGGCTGCATTTCAAAACAGTTAGAGCATGAAGTCTACTTCAGTTGTCATGAACACATCTTTAGTACTGGACACTTGTGGCATAAATTTACTCACTGAATGTCAGCCCAAACCCAAACATTGCTGCAAGTGCACATTGACTGCTTCAGTATCTGAACACAGAAATAGCGCTTATGTTCGTAGTGCACATCTCCACTTTCAACCTTTAACAGGGGGAGGTCATTGAAGGAGCTGGAAGCTAGGATACTAGCACACTGAGGAACTCCTGCATAGATTTCCTGGAGCTGAAACGACTAACCAACAATCAAAAAGTCTGCTTTGCAAAAGATTGATTGTGGAGTCATGTGGTAAATAAATATGCCCATGCTTTTGTTTTCTTCTTTTGGACTGAGGACATCAGATATATAATGCAGCTGATTGATCAATTATAGATTTTTACAATGTGTAAAGCAGACCCTTGTCCAACTCTTCCATGCTAACTAGATGGATGAAACTGAACTAGTCCCATCTGAAGCGCTGCAGCTATTGTTAAGTTTCACTTCTGCCTTGTGTATCCATGACAGAGGTGCAGTTCCTTGTTACTGTTAAGTAGGTGAAGGTCAACATCAACTCAAACCAGATTGATTCTCATTTACCTTCAATTCTAGACTTGATGGAAGTCCATTAGAAGTCTCTTATTCACGATGTATGGAGCGTTTTTAAAATCATACAGCAAGAAAATGGTCTGTTTTCTACCCCCTTGGTTCAGATGGAGTATTTGCTCCAATTTGACTTGCTGAAACACAATTATAGCCAATCAACAACTGCTGACTAGTACTGATGCACTCTAAATCATCAAAAAGGAACTGAGTCATAATGTGGCTTTAAAACCATAAAGGCTTCTCCAGTAGAGAAAAAAATTCAACCAGTCAAAATCTGAAAGTGTGCAACATTTTAAACAGCTCAGAAACTCCAAGTTCAAACTGAAAATAGATCAGTGCT